AGGCTCTGTCTCAAAAAAAAAAAAAAAAAAAAAAAGAGGCCATACTATTAGTTCTGTTTCCTACTCCCAGCCATTTGTCTGTCCATTCAGTATTAATTTAATGCCTGTTGTATATACTACTCCCAGCCATTTGTCTGTCCATTCAGTATTAATTTAATGCCTGTTGCTCAATGCTGGAACCCATACAAGGTTTTTCAGGTTTGACCTGTTTTAATGTAAACCTCATTTTGGAATTTAACATACACAAAAAGAGTACACATACCAGGGTGAACAGTGTAATGAGTTTTCGTGAGTGAGCATACGTGTGAACCAGAACACAGGTTAAGAAACAACATTGCTAGGGTGGCACCTGTGGCTCAGTGAGTCGGGCACTGGCCCCATATACCAAGGGTAGTGGGTTCGAACCCGCCCTAGCCAAACTTTGACAAAAAAACAGCCTGGCACTATGGCGGGCGCCTGTAGTCCCAGCTACTCAGGAGGCTGCAGCAAGAGAATCACCTAAGCCCAAGAGCTGGGGGTTGTTGTGAGCTGTGACACCATGGCACTCTACTGAGGGTGACAAAGTGAGACTCTGTCTCTAAAAAAAAAGAAAAAGAAAAAAAAGAAAGAAACAACATTGCCAGTCAGAGCTCCAGAAGCATTTAGGTTCTTATCACTTTTGAAACCAGCCTGTGTCTTACAAGTACTGATGAGTCATAATTTAAATGGCATCAGTTTTTTGTCTTCTTTGTGATACGTAAAATAATGGCGCATTTTATAATCAGTGGTGACTCAGGGTTAGTGAAATCCAATCATAACAACAACAGCGATAATAGCAGGTAACATTTATAGAAGCCTAGGAGGAGCCAGGCACTTTGCAGACGTCATCTGCTTTAATTCTCACCACACTCTTGTGAGGTAAGGATTTTGAGCCTTATTTTAAAGACTGAGGAAACTGACCAGAGAGGTTGAGTAGCTGCTCACAGTCAGTTCTTTTACCCCAAGTCTGTACCCCAGATCTGTGCCAGTGCTCATAGGGATTCAGGCCTGCTGAAGGGGTCCTATAACACTGGATTTCTAGGGTTTCTGTGGGGGACTGGGAGCAAGGCTAAGTGATATCAAAATTTCCTTTCTGCACTCAGTGTCTACCTAGGAACCTGGCTGAGGTAGAGTGAGGAGTGGAGTTGGGGGTGAAGAAAAATGAATTAAAGAGAACCAGAGTCTTGGTGCCTGTAGCTCAGCAGCTAGAGCGCCAGCCGCATACACCAGAGCTGGTGGGTTCAAGCCCAGCCCGGGCCTGCCAAACAACAATGACAGCTACAACCAAAAAATAGCCGGGTGTTGTGGTGGGTGCCTGTAGTCCCAGCTACCTGGGAGGCTGAGGCAAGAGAATCACCTAAGCCCAGGAGTTGGAGGTTGCTGTGAACTGTGATGCCACAGCTCTCAACTGAGGGCGACATAGTGAGACTCTGTCTCAAAATAAATAAATAAATAAAAGCAAATGTTTTCTTAAAAAAAAAAAGAGAGAGAGAGAGAGAACCAGACACTCCCTCCTTCTCTAGCTAGTGGGGTGGGGGTGGAATTCTCCCTTCCACAGGAGCTTTTTTTTTTTTTTTTTGAGACGGAGTCTCACTCTGTTGCCCTGGGTAGAGTGCATAGCATCATCATAGGTCACTGCAACCTCAAACTCTTGGGCTTGAGCAACTATCTTGCCTCAGCCTCCTGAGTAGTTGGGACTATAGGGGCCTACCACATACCTGGCTAATTTTTCTATTTTTTCTCTTGGTAGAGACAGGGTCTCACTCTTGCTCAGGCTGGTCTCCAGCTCCTGAACTCAAGGGACCCTCCTGCTTCAGCCTCCCAGAGTGCTAGGATCACAGGTGAGAACCACTATGCCCAGCATTCACAGGGGATTCTTAAGGGGCAAAGCCAGCTCCCACCTCCACACCTCCTCCCTCACTACTGCTCCTACTGACTCACTCATTTTTCTCCCAAACATACCCCACCCCCACCCACACCTCCACAGTTTAGAAATTCTTCACTGGTCTTGCAAAAGGAAGAAACCAGTCCTCTCTGGATTCATCCTTCTCTTTATCTTCCTCCCTCTCCCCTCCTCCTTCTCCTCCTCTAAAGGTAAGATATCTGAGATCTTGATCACCCAGATTTCAGAAATGGAAAGGGGCAGGTACCTCAATTCTAGGTTTTGATGTGCTGGAGTTTCTAATTACTCCCTTGGAAAGAGCTTTAAATACCAGGGACAGTTTTGAGTTACTCCTTTGTTTCTGGGAAAGCAAGATCTGGAGGAAGAGGGTGACCTAGTGGGATCCCAGTTGGGCATCAGTTACTCCTGTTGTACACATGAGGAAACCAAGGCTCAGAGGTGAGGCATCTTGACTGGGTTCTAGAGCAGGCC